TTTTTAGTTATAGAAATTAATAGGCCATAACTTGTCAAGTTATGGTTCATAACTAGATAAGTTATGGACAAACTTGTCAAGTTATTGTTCATAGCCAGACAAGATATGGATAATTATGGACAATAATTTGTCAAGTTATGGTTCATAACCAGACAAGTTATGGACGAAAATAGTAATTTGGCCTATTTATTAACTTATATAAACTATTAACCTATTAATTTTAATTCATCTCAAGTCTTAACCTATTTTCCTCTTTCTCCCTTGAAAATCGAACACATATGCCATAGGCCCCTGTTTTGCGTCTGGTGACCCAATTAGCCTTGGGCCTCATTTGTAGCCTTTGGTGACACAATCAACCCAAATGGATCAGTTCTACAAGCTTCCTGTAGAGGAACATGCTCGTCTAAGCCGTTCTCTTTTGATCATCTAATTTCAGCTTAATCAACCCCATTTCAGTGACATATCAGCAACCGAGCCTTGGCCACGTTTAATTCGCCATCGAGACTGCCACGTCATCTCCGTTCAGACATCTTACTAGCCACTTGTACGAGATTCCATCAACACAAGTTATTAAGAAAACAGAAAATTACCACTAAAGGCAGAAAATTTTTAGTCTTAATCGACTTTAATAGGTTATAATTTAATCTCTATTTTTGGACGACATTTAATGGAAAATACAACATTGCACTATTCGTTCAAAAAAAAATTTAAGAACTAAATTATCACCTTTTCACAAGTTTAAAGATCATTCGTATCAATTACTCAAATTAAAATTTAAACAAAAACTTTGTACACTGCATCAAAAACTTAACGCAAACTCTCTTATATTGTTTTAAAGTTCTACTGAATGTGGTTAATATAAATTTTGTAACATTTTCTGATTTTTTTATAGTCGTCAATTAAAATGACATTTTGTTATAGGAGGGAATTTTTGTGACAATGAATTTATCATAAAAGTTGTATCGACTTTGGTTACACACGATAGGACACGTGGTCCTACTCAAAACAATGAATTCCAAACTCTTGAATTGTCGTTACAGCCATCCCCTGCCTTATCTACCCAGCCAAAATTATCACTTGGAAAATCTCCAATGGCCACAAGGGGAAAGTCTCAGCAATTATTGTTGAAGACAAATATCCTTGAATCCCTTTTTCTTTATCAATGTTAAAGTCAAACTCATCCATTTTTGGCCTGTCATCTCCAATGGTCCATAATTTCCTTTCAATTTTAAAATGCCAAGGTATAAACTCTACAATTAGAGGCGTAGGGCGGTGGGGCCCAGGAAGATATTGTTAGTAACCAAATCGAATTCAGATGCGGAAGCGTGGGGGAGGCGGATCGTGCATGACAAAAATTTTCATAAAACCTTTGAGATACTCTATAGATTATATTAATTTATGCACGAATAAATTAATCTCATCAATTCATTTATTAAGAACTCAATTAGGAAAAATACCTGGAGGTCGACTCGGTTGATAACTTGAGTTCTTTGACCTCGAAAAGTCCTTGCTCCAAAGCTTTGTGTTTAGAAAACCAATGTCTTCCACATCAATTCTTAGAATCCACGAAGACGTGTGTGTGGGCACACATGAGACAAAACGGGTTACAATAAACACTTGAATTTCCACAAACACCAACGCATGCACGATGTGAAATTTTTAGAGAAAAGTTTTTCCTTCCCTTGCTCTAAGAGAATTTCGGCCACCCTATTCAAATTAGGGAAAAAATTGTTTCAAAAATTTTCTCAAAATACAATTTTCTACTATTCTCTTATTTATAAAGTAGAAGTCAAACTTCTAGAAGGAATCAAATCTCTATCTCCAAGATAAAGCTTGTCAATTATCTCATATTTGAATTTGAAACAAAATCCCCCAATCCCTTATCCTTAGTGTGGCCGGCCAAGATAGGGGATTCTCATCCCTGTGTGGCACCAATTTCAGATAGGGAAGGAAGAGAAAATCATCATTTATCCTGTAGTCTAATTTTGACTCAAATTCAAATTCCAATTTAAGTCAAACTTAAATTAATTTGAATTCTAAATTGAACAACTTATCAAATAAGTTTAAATGGATAAATCTAGATGTGTTCAAATTCAAATTTAAATAATCA